TGCCACACTTCTTACAGTGCTGCAATTGCATTTTTCTTTTTTTTTTTATTTTTTTTATAGATTTTCCTAAAGCTACATGAAATACTATTATTTCGGTTTCTAAGATAATACAAAGTTATGTTATTCTGATTCTTAATTTTTTTTTTTAAATATCTGTATCCAACAAATGCAAACATAAATATATAAAAATTAGACCTACCAAATATATGGAAATTTTTTTAAAAATTTAAATATATATATGGGATATATACACGTATTTGACACTCATTCGAATCTGAATAACAAATTAAGCTGTAAAATTAATGCAGTCTGTATCATATGTACATACTCTAAAATTATCAACCACTGGTCAGCAGTTGGTATAAGCAAAAGCTGATGCTTTCCATAAACAAGTTTTACAAATTCAAATTTTCAATCTTCTGAATCTGCAAATTCCCTTCCAGATTTCAGAAACAACTATGGTTTGGTTAAGCATTATCATATCAACATGATGAAAACATTGAAACTTTTTTCTTTACAGGTGGCATGAACTAGTTGTTATCAAGCATACAAGTTCAACTTCAATTTGAATCTGAACAAACCAAAAAAGTCACACCAAGATTCATGAATCAGATTATTAATTGCTGCATTTAAAAACCCTTTAAATGATGTGGCTGCAATGGCTATATATCACTAAAAACCAACTAGCTAATAAAAAAGTAATGCTAAAGGACCTGAATTTACAGAAACCTGAAGGCAAAACCTGAAGAATTAAGTATTATTATTATTATCATCCATAGTTTAAACGTTTTTCAATTAGTTTTAGTGTTCATTTGAATAGGTAATGAGATTAGTTTGAATGAGATTAAAAATAATAGTAAATATAAAATTAATTATTATAATGATAAGATTAAAATTAATAATAAAAAATATATTTAAATGAAAAAACAATAATTACGGTAAAAAAAAAATTTCACTGGTGCCATAAGGTCCGATAACGATTGGCACCTCTAGCACGATCAGAAAAACTTCAATCACACCGAAGCATGAGATCTGAACATACTCCAATGACAGATGAAGCTTCAAATGGTGCAGCACCATTGATAATCGGTGATCCAAATTGAGTCTTAGAAGCGTTTAGACTTATTACTCATGCAGCTACTCTCTTAGCATCTAATAATTTTAAATTTTAAATTTTAATACTTATAATCTTTCTTTTGATCTCATATTACTATTTTCTTTCTAAAAAAAAAAAAACCTCCAAAGCTTAATTCAATTACAAGAAAGAATAATAAAGCAATGACAACCAAGCACTATCACTTCTAGGATTAGGTCTGAGAAAAGTTTGAGAATAGCCTGATTGAATTATAAAAAAAGAAAAAAGGCCAAAAAACATAGTTTCCAAAAACAATAGTTTTTTCTTCTCAGCCTAGCTATATAGGCTAAAAGATGTTAAGATTCCACTCTAATCTGTCAAGCATGGATAACCCACCTTCAACTTGCAATTATGCAAATGGGTGGGGATTTGTACTTGGTGCAAAGCCCATGATGGTTGTCAAAACAACAAAAACATACGATTAATCCTGAAGGAAAGACAAGACACCTAGAGAAAGAAGGGGGTGAATGATGGAAAATTCCAAAGGAGTGAAACCCTAGGAAAAGACATTGCTTTTATTTTGGGGGGAAATATGCATTGGACACCAATATTTGTTGGTGGTGGAGCATAAAATAAAGTTGGGATTAGGATTTGTTGTACAAAATGGGACCCCTATATAGTAAAGTCAAGCTTAGCTCCACTCAATTTCTGAATAGAATTTTTGCTGTTTGATTATGGTGCATGCATATATAATATCAGATGACTTCGTCGAAGGAATTGCCGTTGTTGTCATCCTATCACACTATTTATGCAGGAATGAAACTACATATTGTCATGTGGCAAGTCTTGTCATTTTGAATGTGATAACGATGAAATGGAATACTGCTAAACAATCACATTTTTATTTCTACATGTCTGCTATAATATGATTTGTGTTTGATATGAAGGGTTGATGGTGAAAGAATAGTTTGTATACTTAATGATTAAGTTCCATACATGTGAAACACGTATCAAACAAGAACAGAATAGTGAAACATGTGTGGAATGGACAAGTTGATATCTCCATTCACCTCCAACATATTCTTTCTTATAGAAAAAGTTTTGATCTTATCTAATTCTGTAGAAGTAAAATACAAGTTTCTGTTTTGAATTCATATATCTATGTTTTTGAATAAAAAGTAGAGATATTTTTATCAGAATATACATTTTTTATTTTAAAGAAAAGAGGATTCGAGCTTTATTTTTCGAGCAACTGATTAAATTTCGATCATTAAACCAAATGCTCAAATGTTTATAATGAAATATTAGTTACAAGAAAAGTTCGACCTTTAATAACTAGAAACTTTTCTTTCCTTCATTCATGAATCAACTTTTGATGGAATTCACTGCAACTTTCTGTAGAGGAACTGAACTCAGCCCAAACCTTCATAGCTCAATGGTCAAAACTGAAAGAGGCTGTAACACAGAAAGAAGTCTTAGCCTAAGCTGATCAGACGAAACATGGTCCTCACTACTCTGTTTTGAATCCAGACCCAGTCCAAGAAAAGAAACCCCAATCTTCAACTGTATCATGGACCTGACAGAAAATCATTTGGACTGTGCACCCTGGGCTCAACCAATCCAGTGCTTCACTTCAAATTAAACCCAAAGCATTTGGACATTTTCAAGGTTTTTGGCCATTGAGTTGATAAACATGTTCTTTTATGTTTTTGTTTGAGAAGGATTTAGATTCTTGTCGAACTGGAACTGTTGTTTGAAAGATTATAGTACCGAAAAATATCGTAAAAAGTAGGGATAAAATGGATAAGGCAAAGCATTTTCTATCATAGTATTCAGAGTTTTATATTATATTCTTTTGTATTCATATCTAACAGATATTTTAAATTTATTATCATCTCTATTTTCGTAAATATTTAATAAGCATGAAAATCATAAGTTTTAAAAGAAGAAAAAACTAAATTTTATTTTTTTATTTTTATCTTCTATGTTTAGGTAATTTTTTATAAACATATATTAATATTTTTTAATAAAAATATATTAATTTTAATTAATCTAAAATGTTAATTTATATTATTTAATAAAAAATTTATTTACTAAATATATATAAACATATTTGTAAGTACGAATACAAGACGAGTACAATATTATTCGTATCAATTCGTACCCAATAAAAATTTAAAATCATACCCATTCACAACCCATATCAACAATATAATACCTATCCCTTTGTCTATTCAAATAAAAAGTTAAGTTTATCATTGAGTATGGATAAAATTGAGATCCTTAATAAGAAGCCATTTATGTTACATCCCAATCATCACATCTAACTTAGCTTCTCTCAAACATATGATTATGATTGGACAAAGTTTTGATTTTATTTTGGGTTTTTAAAAGTTTGAAATCAGGACATTCAACCACAGGATTAATGAAAGAGCTCAGGACAGTCGGCTCCAAAACATGCACACAAGTCATTTGAATGCAATCACACCTAATTAATCACACATTCCTCCTATTAATATCAAAAAGTTTATAAGAAGGAAAACAACCAAGGGAAACCAGAAAAGCAGAGAGTAAAGAGAAGCATGGCAAGGAAAGAATGGATAGCATAACCAGTCTCAGAGTAGTTTATATAGTAGCAAAATTTTCAGGCAATGGCAAACAAGCTGGAATAATAAAGTCAACATCTCTGGTCTCTCGGCACCACTAATAGTTCCTTCCTGTTGCACCCATTGTGATCTGGAATCAATCAAAGATTTTAAGTTTTTAACACATATGCAACATGATGCCAACCTTACCTATGTCGGAGATAGGGTATTGGAGTTTCTAAAGGACAAGAGGACACCATAGACAAACATCTTCCCAAACACGAGCACATGTCACCTACTTGGATAAAAGAGCATGTTATGCAACACGTACACATGTTAACTACTAGAATAAAAACTTATACATGGAGCCGAATGACAGGTTGCCTCTTTTGTCTTGCATTCATTGTAATCAAGAATCATGCAAAGATTTCAACACACATGTAACAGCATGCCTACCTTAATATCCTGGATTTAAACTAGAACGGCTCTTGTAAGTTCCAATGGGAAACAGGACACCATAGATAAACATCTTCCCTAATGCGAGCACTCGTTAAATACTTGGATAGAAGAGCATAAGGAATGTGACAGAAATACATGTTAACTACTCAGATAAAAGAACTTGTATATGGAGCCAATTAACAGTTTACCTTTCTCCGGATTTGGCTTTAAATACCGCACAGCACACACGAGGCTAAATAATGTTTTATAATACACAAACAAGGGGGCCGGTAAGAGCTCACAGCAAAGCATCTATAGCAGCCAAAGAAGAAAAAAAAAAAAAAAAACCTTCCCAAAGCGTTCCAAGTATCATTCACACCAGCAGTTCTATTAACTAAGAAGAAGTATAACCTGGAAGAACTAAAGTTATAACTTCCAAAAAATAAAGCGTCTGCAAATATGACTCCCACTTTCAAACACCCATGTAACATAAATTGATAAATATAGTTTGGTCCTTGACCTAATCCCCCTAACCATACCCTTCTTTGTCATCAAAAACATTACTTACTTACCCTAACAAGGTCCGGCGAGCAATAATTTGGTTAATAATTCAGCTCAATAACCCCATTAAACCTCCAATAAAAGTCATCAACATAATCTTAAAAAAGCAAGCATACCAAAAAATCACATCAAAACAGTATTATTCTACCATAATCTTACAATTCCATCTAGTTTAACATAAACAGATAAAAGCCTTTCAAGCATCATCCAGCAAGACTCAATAATGAAGGCATTTCTGTATTAATCCTAATGTTCAAGTTCAATCACCTACCATCATATTCAGCAAATCATAAAAAAATTCTACAATTAACTTGCGAAATGAGAAAGATTCAACATAAAACTAACAACAAAAGTTAAACTTCAAATTAAACATTAACAATTTATTCTCGTAGCACATAGTAATGAACATCAAAAGAGTCATTCTGAAGCTCACTCTTTCTCTGATCATTTTAATCCGCAACCATTAAAAACACAAACCGATTATCAGATCACAAATTATTTACATAAATATTTATAATATACCCCATGATGACCATCATCGATGCATTAAAACACCAATCAATAATCGGGACGATGATAATCACTATAATCGTCCCTTTCCCTTGATGCCACGTCATGCTCTACCCTTTCACCAATCTTTTCTTCTTCGTACTTCAATCCTTCTTCTAAGGCCAGTCCACCCAAAGCCCCCGCGACGGCTCCAACAGCTAATCCGGTCCCCAGCCCCAATTTGGGACCTCCTCGAGGCTTCTGATCGTATGGCGAGTAATCTACTGGCGCCGATGGGGTGCCGTAGCTGGAACTGCGTTCGAAGAAGGGACGTGGAGGCATAGGCGGTGGCGGAGAGGAATAGTAGTGGCTAGAGTAATAGGGAGGGTAAGCGTCGGGGATGGAGGAGTACGGTGATGGTGGAGGAGGAGAGACAGAGGGTGGAGGAGGTGGCGGAGGGAGAGAAACATAGGGCGAAACAGAGTATCTCGGTGGAGGAGGGGTATTTGTGTAATAATAGCTAGGAGGAGGGGCAAAATGGTAATCATGAGGTGGAGGAAGGGGACGTTCGCGGATTCCTAGCTTCACGCGAATCTTACCTTGGGGACGACCGGAGGCTCGGAGGAGAGAAAAAGTTCGGATCTTGGAACTATCATCCGGGTCGGGTAATTCTTTAAGTTCAACCCGGAGGGTTGCCACTAAAGGCTTCGGAGTTTCCGAGGGTTTGGAGTGGAAGATCTCGAGGGTTAAAACGGCGTCGTGGAGAGGGGCGGGGAGGTGAAGGGTGAAACGCTCGTTCCAGACCGGTCTTGTTGAACCGGAATCGTCTGAGCGAGTTGAGAGACGTCGGTCTGGATCGACCCAAAAGACAGCGTAGGGTTTGAGATCGCCGTTTCGCCAATTGACGTTTTTTAGATGCTTGGCTGACACGATCGTGAGGTCAAGGTCGAGTAGTCTTGGTGGCGGTGGTCGAGAGGAAGTGGCCATGGCGGTGGCTGTGGCAGCAGTTTTTGGTAGATGATGATGCTAACTAAACCGGATAAAGAGTTGCGTCGATTGTTGGACTTTTTAGAGTGGGGGAGATAATTCGCTTGAGAAGGGGTGAAAATAGAGATAGTAATGAAATGACAGTTTTAACCTTGGTGATTGTGGAGTTTCGACGATTTTCTATGGGGATTTTTGGGTATTGCAATCCAAAGTCACTCACTCTTTATGGCTTTTTTTTTTTTTTTTGTCTCACGAAGGAAAAAAAATTGCTACTTTTAATTAGACTCTCAAAAATTATTTTCTCTCCACATTTATTTTTTATTCAAAAATTATATTAAAAATTTTATATTTTATTTCGATTTTAAAATTTTTGGATATGCATGTCGATCAATTTTATAACTTATAGATATATTTAAAGACAATTATGAAAGTCTTTTAATAAATGATGAAAAGATTAAGAATTATATAGAAATTATTTTGATAATTTCTTTAATGATAAATTTAAGCATAATATAAATGAGTTTAACATATCTTTTAAACACATAAATTATGTATTTAAACGTAATATTAAAATGTATGAAATTAAAGAGGCTTTTGAAAAAAATGAAAGTAAAAAAAATTATAGGACTAGATGAAATATCGATTGAAATTTGAAAATAGTTGGATGAAATAGAGATTGAATGGTTGATTGATTTTTTCAACAAGATTTAATGTACTCAAAAGATGCTCAAAGAATGGAGAAAAACATACTTTAATACCTTTATACAAAAATAAAAGTGAAATACAAAATTGATCTAACTATTGAGAAATAAAGCTTACGGGTAATACTAAAAAATTTTGGGAAAGAGTAATTAAATGTAAATTGCGGCATGAAGTTACAATTTTTGAAAATCAATTTGAGTTTATGCTAGGATGCTCCACAACAAAGACAATTCACCTATTAAGACTTTTGTTAAAGGATTTTTATGCCAAAAAAAAAAAAGATTTATATATAATATTTATTGATTTAGATAAAATATACAATAGAGTTTATCAATAGATGCTTTGGTAGGTCTTAATGAAGAAATAAGTTCTTTTAAAATATATTAACATAATTAAAGATATGTATAAAGAAGTTGTAACGAATATGAGAATGTTTGGTGACTTGACTAATAGCTTTCCTATTTTTTTAATATTACATCAAGGCTCAACACTAAATCTTTTTTTTTTTTTGCATTAGTTATGGACGAGTTCATTAGACATATCGAAAACAATGTGCCATGAGTATGTTATTTATCGAAGATATAGTCTTAATTGCTTAAACTAGTGATGATCTTAATGCAAAATTAAAATTATGGAGGTATACGTTGGAGTTTCAAAGCTTTAAATTTAATAAATCTAAAATTAATATATAAAATGTAAGTTTAGAAATCATAGAAAAGTGAGTTTTAATGTGATTAAGTTGGATAATGAGGTGGTACCAAAGTGAAGTTATTTTTTATATTTATGGACCAATTATTTAGAGCGATATTGAGATAAAAAATGATGTAAATCATATAATTCAAACAAGATGGGTGAGGTGACACAGTGTGTTAGGTGTGTTATGTGATCTTAACATGCCTTTAAAGTTAAAAGTTGTATAAAACAACTATAAAGCTTACATTATTATATGTTATTAAGTATTACGTTATTAATAACGAACATAAGAAGAAAATTAGTGTAGCTAAGATGAGAATATTTAGATGGATGTGTGGTAAAATTAAAAGGAACAAAATTAGAAACACAAAAATTCAAGAAAAATTAGAAATAGTTCGAATTGAAGAAAATATGAGAGAAAGCTATTTGAAATGGTTGGATATGTGAAATGTATGCCTATCTATGTTTGTGCACCAATTATGAGAAATAAGTTTTTAGATTTTGAAAAGACAAAAACTTTTAAAGATAGATCACGAAAAACGTGGATACAAATAATAAGAAATATAACACGAAGATTAAAGAAGTAAATGAAATTGTTGTTTTTTATTTAAACGAATGACACAAAAAGATTCAAAATTATGATTTAATATAATTCTTTTTTTGACATTTCAAGCAATTAATTCTAGAGTTTGGGATGTAAAATTTAGTTTTTTATTATTATTATTATTATTATTATTATTATTATTATTATTATTATTATTATATCGGACATGTATATTCAATAAGTTTTATATCGAAATGAAAATTTGATAAGTTACATAAGTTGTCGAATTTTCATATCCGATAAGTTACATTTAAAGTTTAGGAAAAAAACTCATATCCTAAAGAATTTGCTCAACATGTCAAAGAAAAAACACTATTTATTTCAAATAATTTATAAGTTCATTTATAAATTAATATAAAAAATTATATATGTGGCTCTTTAGATTTTTTTTTATCTAAACGATTTGAGACAAAAACTTTAAAACTATTCAAATATACAAAACGAGGAGCTTTTAAAAATTTTTAGATTTACAAATTTGAAAACTTTTAAAAGCTTTCGTATTTAAAATTTTGAAAACTTAAAAGTGAAAAAGAGTTTTAGAAAGAGTAATTAAGTAATTTCACTTAAAAATATTTTTGAAAAAAAAGTGTAAAGAGATAAAAAAATTAGGCTTAGAAGCACAAAAAAAATTCTTTTCTTTTTCTCCAATTAAGGGAAAAAAAAGTACCCATGATATAAACCTTGCTTAATTTTGTTGCTTGATATAATAGATAAGATAGTTTAGGTATGATAATTTGATATAATAGATAAGATAATTATAAATTAGAAGCACCCAACAAATTTATTTTTCTTTTCCAATTAAGGAAAAAATGGTATCCAACATATAAACCTTGCTCAAATTTGTTGTTTGATATAATAGATAAAATAATTTAGATACATTAATTAATTATAATTAAAGTAAGCTTAACTCACAAAATTTTGGATACCAGACTTACTTTAATTAGCATAATTGACATTCAATAAAGAAAATCATTCAAAAATTTTAAATTTCATTAACTAAGTCACGAGGTTTATGCATTTAATTTAGAATATAAAATCAAATTTTTGTTATAAAAAATCCTCTAATAGCATAAAAAATAATAATAATCCACTAATCATATGGTCAAATTATATTTTTAATAAAATCTAAACGAAAGTTTTAAAATTTCAAAATAAATATTTAATTTAAAATTAAAATTTATCCATCAATAATTTAAAAAATTAAAAAATTATTATTTTTACTCATAATTACTACAAACTAAAATTGAATTTTTTATCTCAAAAAATGATTTTTTTTCTATTATGCCATCTTTTACAAAAACTTTCATCTTGATGAAATTAGAGTTGGATAAAAAATAATCCTTCTTTTGCTAATAATTATTTATTATTTTATTTCAGTTGGGTACTATTATTATTTTATTACTCTACAACTAAAATATAAGTAATTATTTTACTCACAACGGTATGAACTATAAAGTGAATTTAATTTCCTTTCTAATGATTGGCAAAACTCTTTGTATCATTTCACTAACTTCTCATCATCAAGTGCTGATGAAATTGGAATTAGTCTCGAATTTTATATAAAACCATCGAAATATTTTATTAATCAAGTTTAATTTCGATTTAAATTTAATTATTTTGAGAAAATATCTATAAATATTTTATGAACTAGAAATTTTGTTTGACTTTGAATAATCCACCAAACACATGACCAACATGAATTAGTGAAATATTACATAATTAAATCTAACAATTATATTGATAAAATGATGAATTATTAATTTTAGTAATCAAAGTTTGATTATTTATAATCTTAAATATAAAAAAAATTAACAATTATGTTTTTTAATAAAAAAATCAATGCAACAGGTGAAAGATCATATTTGATAGTTAAGGGTTGAATTGAAATTTTAAAGTAAAAAACACTTTTTTATATCAAAATGTAATTTTTTTTAAAAAATGATAAAATAGTGAAGACAAACTTTTGAATCTTTAAAGGGATTGGAAAAATAACTTCCCTAATAACTTATCTCATGTAAGAAATCCTCTTTTATAAATATGTTTTGCTACAAATTCTTCTTTCTTTTAGTATTTTTTTTTTCTCTTTAGTTATTAGGTTTCAAATTAAAAAAAAATTTTATATCATAATTTACAATGATACAAGTTAAATATATTTTACAGTTATCATAATATTATGAATCTTCTACATCAAAAAATCTTATAAAATTATCAAACAGATTATTGATCCACTTAAGAGAATAAAAATTACTGTATTAAGGTCTTACTAAAATAGATTATCATAATAAAAAGCTTGTTTTTATAAAAATCAAGTTATCAGTTTGATATTATGTCAAGAGGGCATCAAGTGTTAAACATCGGTTAAAATACTTTAATTATATGTTTAAACTATGAACTATTTATATTTAGTTTTACCTTAATGCAAGTTCAATAAATTTTACATCAATAATATTGATTCATTGCATCAATAATGGCTGGATTAACGCAACTTACTAGTTTTTTTTTCTTTTTTTTTAACTTTTATTTGTTATGTTAAAAAAACTTTTATAACTAATTTTGTTGTGAAAAAAGAAATAATAAAATTTCTTATAATATCACCTCTTAAATTATTGTAAATATTTTAATATGATACTTAAATTTAAAAACTTTTAATTAGGTACCTAAATTTTAATTTCGTATATTAAATTATATTAACCTTTTAATATTATTAGAATAATATCAACGTGAGACTTAAATATTGATATATATAATGCAATTATCATGTGATAATGAGGTAACTGTTATTTATTATTTTTAAAAAATAAATTTTTTTTATAATATTTATATTATATTTTTTTATTTTTTAAAAATGACGTAATAAATACATTTAAATCATATGACAACCATATATAATTCATATCAAAATTTAAATACTATATCTGTGTTATTTTAATAGTATTAAAGTTTAAAGTAATTTTATTAAGAAAAATATAGTTTAGATATCTTATTAAAATTTTTTTTATCTAAGTGTATACTAAAAAAAGTGCAAACAGTGCATTATCCCATTAAATTAAAATGTTAAAAATTATTTAATTTAATCTTCAGTATATATAACCAATTCTGCATCCATTTCTGCACACATTCGAAGAAGAGGAATATTAAGATATTATTATTATCGATGACGAACTCAAGGAAAGGATAGTTTCGGTAGTCTGGAGGACACACTGGTCAAATCGGCTACCTAACTCGCTTTTAATTTGTGTTGAATGACATAAAAATCAAAGGAAGAAAAATAAATCCTAGCAAGTGTATCTGATATAATCTATATACATATATAGGGGCACAATTCTTACCTTATTTCTTTTGTGTATTTAAAAAACAATTTAAAAAGGTTTTTTAAGTTAAAAATAATAGATATTTACATTTTAATTTTTATTTTATTAAATATGTAGTTATAATTATTGAGTAAAATATCATTTTAAAACATATTTTTTAATTCATGTCTCTTCTATTAAATTTCTAAATAAAATTGAATCAAACAAAATTATTTTTTTATATGCAACACTTTAATTTTACAAGTTTAAAAAAATCACTTTAGATAGTTTTTATAAACACTTATTTTTCTTTTAATAGTTGTAATATCTTTTATCATAATAGTAGGTTTTGTGAGTGAATATTTATAAAAAAATAATACAATATTATTCTTATCAAATTTATTTTTATAAAAATTGCTCTATCTTAAATAATTTTAATAGACATCAATGATGGGTAACATTTTTTAATCTTTTAAACTATTATTAAAATTTAAATTTGAAATTTTTAAATCTTTAATTTTGAAATTGTCTTGAAAGTAGTACACTTATACGAAATTAAAATTGTTTTATCCACTTCATGAAATATACTTTACGTTTATAACACTTTCATCAAGTTCATTTTCGTTTGCTTTCTTAAACGGAACAGCGACGACCACTATAAAAGGAAAGAAACTGGCAGTTGGAATTTTCGATAGCGAACGCCGTCTCCCTCCACAAAATGGCCCTTTTTAATCTGTTTTACACGCTTCTTCGCTACGGCCAAAGTCAGAGATAGCATTTACTGCTTCTCTCTCTTCTATCTCTCTAAAACGTTAGATCTGTTTTCTACGTAACCAAACACCGGATTTTCTCGAGAAAATATTAGTTTTTTATTTCTTAGGGATTGAAACGATGTCGGACGCTTTGATCAATGGGCTGGCAGGAGCCGGTGGAGGGATCATAGCTCAACTCATCACGTATCCTCTTCAAACTGTACGATTCTCTTTTCCTTTTCTTTTTTTTTTAATGTAAATTTTTTATTTGACAATAATTTTTTGTTTTTTTGCTTTGATCTACAGGTCAATACTCGTCAACAAACAGAGCGTGATCTCAAGAGAGAGAAACGGAAACTTGGAACGATTGAACAAATGTGCCAGGTTTCTTTTTTTCTTCTTTTTTTTTTCCTTTTTTTTCAAATTTTTTGTTAGATGACTTTTTTACGTCATAATTAACGGAATGTTCTGAACATTTAAACGGAATATGTTATTGGAGATTATTGTATGAGCGGTTCTAAGTTAGGTACTGTTTGGTTGTTGATTTTTCATCTAGTTTTGATACAAAAGCAAAAAGCAAGTAGTAAAAGTAGCAATTGAATGGAGATTTAGTAATTTTGTGTTTACGCTTGATTTGTTTGCTTATTTTGGTGAAATAGGTTGTAAAACAAGAAGGATGGGCGCGGTTGTACGGCGGCTTAACGCCTTCTTTGGTTGGTACATCTGCATCTCAGGTGACGAATTTTTTGATTTCTAGCACAATTTTTCTTGGTATTGTATTGCTTTAACTAGACTAATAGTAACGTCGCCAAGTGAAACAAATTAGAATAAATTTTCAATTAATAAAGCAGAGAAGTAAATTTTTTTTTGTTGTGTTGTTTGAGTACTGTTTGATTGCTTTGATTGGTTGCTGAGAGTGTGATGGGAGAAAAGAGAAGTGGATTTATGAACTTAAGAATCATTGAAATGCACCAAATTTGGTATGCTATGATTTAGTTTTACATTGAAACTGAGAAAAGTTAGTAGTTTGCCCCAGATCTTTAATTTTGTTAATATTAGTGAAAACTTGTATCCTGAATACCATATGCTATGTTTAAGCCAAACTAAAGCTAATTTTGAGATTTAGAATTCGAATGTTCTTATTGATGTTAAGGTTGCTCCTTTGTGATTGCAAGGTCATGGGTTCGAGTCTTTGTAACAGCCTGTCTGCATAAATGTAGAGGGAAGGCTACGTACTATGGACCTTCACCCCAACCCTCGCATAGTGAGGAGCCTTGTGCACCATGTGCGTGTTCTTATTGATGTTAAGATGCCATTGAGTTAAATGGCATTCCTGATCACTATCTTGCAACCTTTAAAGAATATTTTGCATGGAGCTATTTCTGTAGCTTAAATACATTCTTTATACATTGTTTAGCGAACTGGACTTTCTTACTGATCTATCTTTGGAGTGGATTGCATGCTTTTGTCTTGCATAAACTGTTTTTTTTATTTAAATGACTCTGTAAATTTGCAGTATTCTGTTTGTTTAGTTTTTTCTGGATTCATAAGTACTTACTATTTCTATGATACAGGGTGTTTACTATTATTTCTATCAAATATTCAGGAACAAAGTTGAAACTACAGCACTTGAACGCCATAAAAAAGGGATTGGAGATGGATCTGTTGGGATGCTTTCCTCACTTATTGTAGCTGCTTTAGCTGGGTAATCTCCTTTTTTATTTATTTTCAATGTTGCCTCAGATCTGATTGTCTGTGTCTGTTGTTATAAAATCTGTTTAAAAGCTCTGTTATAAAATGTAAATCTAGTGCGCCAGTTTCTTTCAACTAACATCCAAAATTGTGGTAGTAATTTTCTTTTCTCCATATATTTGTGAGCTAAATACATGCTTAATCATTTTGGTGTAGGTGCGTAAATGTGCTGTTGACAAACCCCATTTGGGTAGTTGTGACACGCATGCAGGTAAAAAGCAAAGACACATTTCAGAAAGCTTCTTATTTTCTGTAAAACATAGAAAGAATGAACTTTAATATATGCATTCTTTGCCAAGTTCACAAAGAAATTTATAGCCAAATATCCATTGCAATAAGCATGGTGCTTTGGGCTATGCCAATGGCCATAATTCTCCAATTATCCTATATTCCCAGGCCAGAAGTCTGCCTTGAGAAAATAGGGGCGACTAATATGTCCTCATGGGTGTAATTATGTGTTCTTGATCAGTATGTCTAACATTCATTAATGCGTAGAATATCCACATTTGTTTCAGATCATACATAAAGATTTGTACTTCTTTAAAGTTCTGAATTGTGCATTGCAATTTGAAAGGACCTGTTTTTTTTTCAGTTTGCATGTTTGTTCATATTTAAATTAAACAAATATTGTGCTGCAGACTCACACAAAAACCTCAAAGAAAGACCATCCTGATAGGTTGCCAACTACTGCTCCAGAGGAAAAAGTTCTTTCTGTCATTGAGCCTCTTCCTTATGGAACTAGCCATGCGGTACGCACTAGTTGCTTGGTCTATAGAGTCCTCTATTTAGTTCACTTATAAGATTGAAGCTTGTACAAGTTCTTTCTAATGGAATGGTTGACTAATGCAGTTTTAAACTCTATAATAGAAATACAGTGATTTGGATTCTTCAAAAGTTCGTTACATTATTCTGCTTTTGGAATACTTGCAGATTCAAGAAGTCTATGATGAAGCTGGATTTTGGGGCTTCTGGAAAGGTGTATTCCCAACATTGATCATGGTAAGTGAGAAGTGACCATTGCATCTTCTAAGGGTGTATCACTAATTGTTCCTGCTGTTCCTCGTAGGTGAGCAATCCTTCTATACAATTTATGCTATATGAAATGATGTTGAAGAATCTGAAGAAAAGACGATCTCGTAGTAAGAAGGGCAACAATGGAGTAACTGCTTTGGAGGTTGGCTCTGAGTTCATCTCCCTTTACTAATAATTATGTCATCTTCTTATGTCAGTTTTCCTTGCAAATGTCTGTTTCTTCTCTAGTTTTAATCTCTTAATGAGTTGTCTAATTATGCTAGATTTTTCTTCTTGGAGCTCTGGCAAAACTTGGAGCTACTGTTGTGACATATCCTCTTCTCGTTGTAAAGGTATGATTATATGACGTGTAGGCATGTGTCCATAGATAAAAACTTGTTTTGAACCATTCTGAATTTGTTGAAATTGGATAAACGAATTTTAAAAATTGCTATGTGAAAATCCTATCGCCTACCAAAATCATAACCATGAACCATTGGAATTAGTCATGATAAGTGATAAACTTTCAGTCTTATCCATTTTTTGTTGCTTTTACAGTCAAGACTTCAAGCAAAACAAGTTACAACTGGGGACAGAAGGCATCATTACAAAGGTTTGAATCATTATGATGAAGTTTACATGATATGGATGTTGAAGTTTATATGATGTGAATGTTTTAAATGAATCATTAATGAAATTGACAGGCAAATAACCGGTAGGGTTATTGCCTTGGGATTCTCATCATTTTAGAAGATCAAGGCTAAGTTTTAAAAGGGTTTTAACGAATTGAAACTCTCCTTGTTTATGTCTGGAGTTATTTTACTTTCCATTTCTTTAAACTTGGTATTAATCTGTTCTATTACCGTCATGTGCATCGATATAGGGACTGTGGATGCTATTCTAAAGATGATCCGCTATGAAGGCTTCTCCGGCTTTTACAAAGGCATGAACACGAAAATCGTGCAAAGTGTTCTCGCAGCTGCTGTTTTATTCATGGTTAAAGAGGAACTCGTCAAGGGTGTTCGATTGTTGCTTGTTAAGGATGGCATCAACACGGTGAAATCAAAGCCTCCTTGACTGTGAAGCTGTCTCACTATCTCCCCACTCCGCCTCCTACTCCATTTGTTTCGACACTAACAAGTTGTTGGTCAAAATATTCAAACTTGGATTATAGTAGTATTTATCAGGCCATGTACCTTGAAATTAAAAGGATACAAAAAGATTACTTGTTGAAAATAAAATCATTTACGGGTCCTATAAACAAGTTCAATTTATTCTCTGTTTGTCTTATTCTTCCAATTTTCTGTATAAAAACTTGGTGGTTTAAAAATCAGAATTTAAGTTTAATTGATTTATTTAAATTCAAGTTTTAACAAATTTTTTTTTTTTTAATTTTCAGTGGATCAGCCCAACTCTATCTTTTGGTTTACTTGGAATTATTTGTAATATGTTCTCCCAATCTAAAATTTTCAATTTTTAAGATAAAAGTTTTATTGAACTTCAAAATAAAAAAATTAAAAAAAAAAAAATGAAAACCATTGCCCGAGCATGAACGACGCCGTTTCGAAGGACCGAAAACCACTTATAAACCTTGACGTCGTGCAGCACCTTTCTTCCCTCTTCTGGTCTCAAAATATCGGCAGCGCCATTTCCACTGGAAAGCCCACCAAAAATGCAAGAGAAAAAGGCAGAAACGGGAAGCAAAAACGCAAAGAAGGCGAATCTCTTAGATCATCACTCCATCAAAAACATCCTCGACGAATCCGTCTCTGAGGTAAAAAAAAAAAGGAAAAAAAACCCTAGATTCATTAATCTTCGCGATTACAGCTCAAATTTTTAATAATTATTTCTCTTTTTTTTTTTTTTTTTCAATTTTGGATTTTGAAATAGATTGTTACGAGTCGTGGATATATAGAAGATGTGAGGATGAGCAATGTCAGATTATTGCTTGGAACGATTATAATTGTAATCGCTCTTTTTGCTCAATTTTACAAAAAAAAGTTCCCTGAAAACCGTAATTTCCTCATCGGTTGCATCGTGTTATATCCTTTTTCTCATTATTTTTTTTAGAATTTGTGGTTTTGATTTATCGTAATTGCTAGATAAATTAGTTATTTAAGAATGTTTTGGATGAATTGGAATTGAATTGCTGTTTTTTAATCATTTTTAATTGAAATTTTGTTATGATAAACCAGAAAGAGTCTAATTTAGGCTCTGTTTGGTTGTTAATTTTGTTATTTAATGGAAAGAAATAGTAATATGAGAAATTATATTTATTGAACGCACAATTGATCCATTTGTAATTGAAATCAGCTATTTGTAAATAAAAAAAAAAATAAACTTTTAATTTTAATTATGAAAAAGTATATTAGCTTTTGTAAACAAATTAACCTTTTTTTTTTTTTTTACTTCTTCATGTAAAAAAGAGTAACCAAAGAACTAAATATATTTATTTTGGTCTCATACGGAAAATTTTGTTTGTGAAAGTGAATTCTGTTGAAATTCCCATTTATTTACTACTGTTTTTAGTGATTAAGAGCTTTGAGGAAGAAACTCTCACCCATGTCAGGGTTTTTTGTGTTAACTTGTGAATAGAGACCAAAATGATTACAATTGTTTTTTTTTTTTAGTTTCTTATGGTTAAAGATTTGGTCAGAGTTGTATTTACTACGAAGACAAGATGGTGTTCAATATTTCATCTCGGTTTCTTTTTTTCTTCCCTTGCTTTTCTTGGCAACCAAAGTATAGTCTTTTATGTCACTTTCATGTTAGTTTGATTCTTGACTCTGGCAAGTATGTAGTTTTCAATGGGTTACTGCAGCTAATCATCTACGCAAAGGAAAAGCATGCAATTCTATTTACTTATCCTCCCGCTGTAAGTTCCTTTGCTTTCTAATTGAACATTTCCTTATGTTTTATCTTGTGCTATGTGTTGATTTCTTTTTCCGTAAGCTGAGATTATCTTCATGTATGATTAGTTTGGACTTTGGTCTTCATGTGCTTAAGCCTGTGATCTTGAACTTTCCTCAGCATTTTCATGGTTACTGATTCTTGAGATTACCATCTAACTCTATTTTATCTTATTGGTATGATGATTTTGGCTTGAGTTTGACAGCTTTTAATTATAATTCATTGTCATCTAACACCGTGACCAAGTTTCTATTAGAAAGTCAAAAAGTATTTGCATCATAAATGAAATTGAATGAGAGCAATTTAATCTTTTGCAAGTGTTGCCTTTTTTCTAATCATTAGCTCAGTTCTGTGCTTTTCATTCTACTGCCACATGGCTTATAGGAGTTTTTTCCATCAAAAAAAAAAAAAGGAAGGACTTGTATGACTATCTACTTTTATTTTGTGTTTTTTTATAGTGAAACTGTTAAATTTCATCCTTAACATTTTGCAATGTTGCTTTTTTTAGTCCACCAATGCTTTATACTTATGATGTGGAATAAGGCCTAGCATCCCATTAGATATCTAAATTCTTGAATATTGCCCAAGGCAATTATATTTCTTGTACAAACTACATAAACAAACCCCTGTTATTGTCTAACCTCTATTGATCTTTCAAAAAGTTTATACAGTATGGGCATATGCTTTCTGTGTGCCTTTGGCTGAATGAACTTACCAAATTAAAAAGAGTAAAAGTAAATCCACTATAATTAATAGACCTAGTTTATGAGTTTCCTAAGATGCCCTTTGTTTGTGCTTGTGTACCAATCCCTGTGTGCGTTGTTTTCTACATCTAAGTACTGATTTCATGTTTGCAGGGATCTGTCACGAGCACTGGTTTGGTGGTCTCTTCAAAGTTTCCCAGATTCTCTGATCTTTATACACTTACTATAGCGAGTGCAGATCCCAAGTCAATATCTGCAGGTAAACCAGTAGAGTTTACCAAAAGTGTTACCCAATGGTATCTCCCTTTTCCTTTTCCCTTCTTTTGTTCCTTACTCTCCCACTTGCAGACCTGCAGTCCCTTTACATTTCTAACCATTTGAAAATATTTCAGGTTCACTAAGGATGGAATATTGGTGGAGGGTCTATTCTGGAAAGATGTTGAAGCACTAATAAATGATTATGCAGCAGAACCAAAGAAAAAGAAGTGATCTATAGAGAGTAAGGCTCACATTGATAGGCTTGCTGTTAGAAAGTGAATTCTGGCATGTTGTGACTTTGATATAGATGTTCACTAAAATTATTGTTTGTGTTGAAAATTTTGAGCTAAAAAGAAATTCGACTTTGCCTGAAGATTAGACTACAATTTACATTCAAAGACGAATTCCTGTTAATGAAAAAGATTTGTCATCTTTAGCTTTATTGAAACTTATATCTATCGCTTTGTTTTATTAAATATACTGATTATGATTCCTAGTAACTATCATATATCTTCCTAGTTTAATTTCTGTTAGTACCAGCATTGGGTTATCAACTGCAGTTTCTCTTGCCTCGGTTGCCCGGCTGCTACTGATCTCTATAGATGCAGTACCGCGCAGCCCAGCAGATGCAGCTCTTTCCGACAGTTAGCACTTTTTACATTTGCTTGTTTCCCACGGCATGGTTCTCTGATTTTGTTATTGGTAGTGCCACTTATTTTCGTTAGTTATTTATTTTATTTAAATTACTATAAAATAAGTAAAATTTTTTATTTATACCTAATATATATATCAAGAGTTTTTAAATTTCGTTAGATATAGAGTTTACTTTTTATACATTGATAATAGAATTTTTTAATTTTACAATTGAGAAGAGATTGTCACGTATTTTTATTTTATTTTTAATTATATTTTAATGATGTGTTATTTTTATTAATTTTACTTGTATAATTTAAATTTTTTATTGAATGTAATAATATTTATACTTGATTCAAAATTTATTTAAGTAATCTAAAAGATATAGAATTTCATATTAAATTGTGAGCTATATTTTTTTCATGTCGTATAAATAAAATGTATAAATTTATTATAATTAGCAATAAATGAAAATTGTTCATTCATATTGTTGTTATTTGCCCCTACTATCAATTCAGTCCCTTTAATGAACCCACTTTTAAATATTTGTTTGTCACTAACTTCGAATTCTCGTCTCTCTTCAAGCCACGAATATTCCCCCTTTCCTCTCAAAATTCCTACTACAATCTTAACCGATCCTTTTCCATGCCCTAATTATTACACTAATAATACTATTTTCTTTTACTTTCTCGGTCCCCAAACAAAGTCAACAAGTCAGTCTGTCATTGTCAGAGCGCAGACGTGGCATTTCCTTTCAAGTGGGGTCCACACAGCTAAGAAACAAAAAGCCGACGTGCGCTTTAACCAATCAATCAAACCGCGGATCTGAGATCGACAACAATTAACCGTATTCCACAAAACACCTTGACGTCCGCCTTTTTTTTATATTTTATATTTTTCTTTCTTTATATAACAACCGACTCCGATATTTTCTTAATATCTTTCCTAGACCAATTAATTTTTTTGTGAATCAGAAGTTCCGTCTCTCTCTAACAATTTCCCATCTTTTCTCTCTCTAAAAATATCCAACCTTACGCTTTTAATTCTAATTTTTGTCTTAATAAATCGAAGAATCTGAAAGAACTTGATTTATAAGATTTTTTTTTTTAAATTTAGTTAAATTCAACTATGACTAATTCTAGAAACGGAGAATTTGTTGACGATCATGTGGATCTAAACGACGACGAAGTAATCGATTCATCTGGCTCATCGTCGTCAACCAACGGCGTTGTTGAGACCTCTACCGTTGGATCTGGAACAACATCGAGACAAAACGGTGAGACAAGGAACGGATTCGGACTCACGGAACGATTAACCGACACATTGGTAGAGGAAAACGACGGAGATTTGTTGCTTCAACAAAGCGATCGAGAAGATACGGTTCTACAATGGTTACAAACTTTAGATATGCATGTAATCGGCGCTTGTCGAACCGATGAAAGGTTAAAGCCTTTGTTGAAAGTCAACGTTTCAAACGGCGTCGCTGAGGATCGATTATTAGCTCATTTGAGTCAGGTATATTTTGTAATTTGGAATTTCAATTGATGTAAATATGATTCAAGTTTGTTTTTTCCTTTTATAAAAATTTTAATTTTATTTTATTTCTTGTATAAAATTTTCAGCACTTTGAGCCATCGGAAGTCGGTATGCTGGCGAGGTGTTTTTGCATACCTTTGGTTTCGATTCGAGCAGGGAAGATTAACAAACAAGGGACTCATTTTCACCCTACTTCTATAAGGTAATTGAAGTCTTATTGATATTGGAGTCTCTAATTTATCGTAGATTCATCTGCTTCGGATTTGCCTAGGTGCAATTATGTAATTGTCTTAGGATCGTTATATTCAGCTCTCTTTAGAAACTAAACATTTTGGGTTGATTCTCTCTTTTTTTTTTTTTTTTTTGTTTTACTTAAGTTTGGAATTATCAAATTAGATAGGTAATGCTTGGTTTGAAATAATAAAGACCCATTATGGGTATAGTTACAATTCTTGGATCCATACTTTATATTCATTAAGGGTGTCATTATAATTAACTCCTCTTTTATTTGGTCTTTCATACTCTTAAATTGCATATAGCTTTTTGGCAAATTACTTGGATTGGTACAACTCTTTTTTCTCCCTGCTGTCTTCATTTGGGAACTAAGATGATATTAATTGATTGTATTATGTTATACGGTAATGATTTCAATATCCTATGCAGGCAGTGGGTTTAAAAATATACATGATTTAGAAATGTTCTGGTCTTTCTCAGTATGTCACACGTTTACTACCTGTAAGTTTGTATGGCATGTATTTTCATGATTATATGTGCTTACGTTTGCAAGTGATGCATTTCTTTAAATTACACTGCTGCAATTGATAGTACTGACCCTTTATTTGATCTTTGGACTTGGTCATATTATTGAAGTGCCATTGTACTCTATCATTCTCGGATTATTTCTTAATTGTATTGACTTTTTATTCTATTTACTTTTTGATGCATGAACCCACGTAATGCTTATTACTTTATTATCTAAAGGCATTTTTGTTTAATTTGGCCTTGTGCCGAGTCGATATTTGATTGATTTTCATGATTTATTGGATTGCTGCATCTTTTCTGGTTGCATTTCAGCATGGTTTTCATAGCTTTTATTTTTAAAAAATCCTATATCTGGATCCTACATTATAAGTTTCTCAATAGTGCTTTGATTTAGCAACTACATTACTTGATTTCACATGTTGGAATCTTTCCTTTAGTACTAGGTTTATGCTACAATATTATTTGACTGGAAGGTGTATATTTAGTGGTTAATAGTTGGTAGGAATTGCAGGGTTCTATTTTAGTTTGTTGTTGGTCATCGTGTTCATGCTTCCAAATAAATATATCTTTTGACTTGTAGGTAAAGTGGGCGTATTCTATAATGATCTCTGAATTATGACGAAGTAAAGGTAGTTTCATCTCCTATATTATATAGTTTGCCGCTGCCTGTTTTGTGGATCTATAGGGTTGACATTCAATGAATCAATTATAAGTAGTATTGAGTGCTAATGACATTGTATGAATTATGGTATGCTGCTTTGTTAGTGTCAGTACTTTCCATTTTTGCTGTAAATTTTGTCGAAGTCTTAATTGTATATTTTCTGTGCAATTCTCTGTTATCTTGTGGTTATTCATTTGCTATATGATGCCATTCGTTGTTTTGATTGATGATTTTGTTTTATGGTCATGAATGATAAAATTCTGGAAAGGATTTGTGATGACCTCTTATAGCTGTTCAATTTGTCCATATTTGTGTAAAAATGTGTAAGAAGTATCACATGATGTAACCAGATTAGTTTTTAATTGCCGAATTCATAAAAACAATATGCTTGAAAAATATCTAAAATGTAAGGCTGGGTCTTTAGTTGACATTAAAGCATTGAGGAGAGCATCTTATTATTGGTGTAGTGAGTTCTTTCTAAGGAAAAAAAAGAACTAAATATTAACTTTTACATGGTTAATGCTTATGGCAGATAGTACTTTGTGAATCATACGTGATTCTTGAGATAGATAGAACTCAATTTCTATATGGATATGTTATTCAGACTTTTCTAGTTGCGGAGATAGTTATCCTTCTGCTTGCTGAAGACACAATGAACCAATTAACGTTAAGCTCTCAGCCTTCCCTGAACATCCATGATAACAGTCCTTGCCAAAACCTTTGTTCCTTTTTTTTTTGTTTAAATCCTATTTGGTTACCTGTAATTCAAATTTCCTTCAATCTTGTCTCCTTTCAGAATTTTCACTAGGGCTTTTTTTGGATGATATAAACTGTTGAATCTTACAGCTTGCTACTTGCAAGGTGTAATGTAATAGATTTGATATTTGTGCTTATAACTTGATTTTCTCTTATTGCTGTTTATACTTTATTTGTAATTTTCCTTTCTACTTTGTCTAAAATGTTTACCAAATCTTTTTGAATTTTTGCAGGGGAAATTTGAGTCTTACACTCTTGCCAACATCAGACTTGCGCCTTTCATTTGTTGGGGATGATGGTCTAACAGAGAGACTGTTTACCTTAAGTAGCAAACCTCAGTGTGCCGCTTTTTCCATTAATGAGATCCCAGCAGACAATTCTGGACGATCTTTCCTTGTGAAGACCCCAGATGGCAAAGTTTTTTACTATTGGTGCTCAGAGATGTCAAAGCTCTTGGGAATTGAATTGCTCTCAAAGGTATTTGTGGTTTTCTCATTAGTAACTGTCCTTGATGTGCATACCTACAAAAAATTAGAAATTTTGTAAAATTGTATTTTGTGTTTACACCAGTCTAGCATCACCTAGGCAATTGGTGCTACTCTTTAATACTCTCACTAGCAGATATGCAAATTGCTTTATCTGTCAAGCGATTTCTATCTAATATCATGTTCTTTCCATGACAGATGAAGGATTTAATCAAAAGAAAACCATCTATTGCTGAATTAACTGGAATCAGTGAGTCACGACTTGGCTGCTTTGCAACTCAGCTTCGTGCTTATCTTGTAGGATCAACAGTGAGTAATAGACAAGCAAGTTGTTTAGGTCGACCTTCAGCCAATACTGAACATGACACCATCGATGTGCACGGGGGACAATCTTCATCGACATCAAAATCTTTGCGATCTAGGCACTCTAGCAGTCAAGTACTCAAGGTCAATGCACTGTATCAAGGTAGCTTAAGTCCAAGATCAAGTTCTTTCAAGGAGGGTATGACGCGAAACTTGTCTTCCCTGAGGAGCACTGCCAGGGATAAGTTACGAAGGCGTGGAGATAACCATCTTTTAGTAACCGAGAGCCTTTCAATTGCTTCACCTATTACGAATGATTCCTCTAATTGCAACCAAGCTGAAAATGACAAGCTTCCAGACGTCAAGAGTTGTCCATTCACTCCTAACTTCCTGGAGTCAATCGGAAAACTTGCTGTTTCACCAACTCTAAGCTCTGTATCTCAAGTTTCCTCGTTGGGACCACCTCTCTTTTCTCCCTATTATTGTTGGTGTCCCCCAGGATCAACTCTACAACACCCAGCTGCCTCCGAACTTCCAACCTCATCAATTGAACCTCTTAAGCTGCCACCTCTTTCTTCAATATTACCAGTGAATGGTTCTTCGTGCTTGTTCAAACCAACATCCTCTCTTGATCTGGCTGATGTTCCTTCTCTGGATTTTCCAGCTTTTCCCCCAGAACCATTGGTCCGATTGCCAATGGCCAGTTCACACCAAATTCCAACCTTCACACCTTTGATTTGTGATCCCATTGTTCATATTCCAGTCATTGATGTTTGCTCTTCAGGACAAGGTTACTTGGTTAGTGCTGGTCCCGCTATTTCAACTACAATTCCTCCATTGCATCCAAAACTGGTGAACCCGTTATTACCCAATACTGATTCCGTGGTGGAAAAGGGTGCTAGAGAAACTCTTCGGCTGCTCATCAGTGGTTCAACACAGAGCAACCCTCCATTGATTGACGTATTGCCAGCAGTTCTGACCAATGCTGATGAGAGAAAAGGTATCCTTGTCGCCGGAAGTAGGGGTCTGTACAGTGGAACAAGAGACGTTAGCGCCATTCCTGATGGCATTGCCGCCACGAGTTTGGTTACATTTTCTTCTAGCTCCATGGTAGATGGCTTTATAAAACAATGTAGCAGCAGCAGCTCTGACAATCCCGATGCTAAGAAGCAGTTGGGATCAAGTGGTTTAGATGGATCTTGTTCAAACAGTAATGGAGCTAAACTTTCAGACTCGAAAGAAGCAGGAAATAGTGATTAAACAATTACATGTGTTTTATTTCCTCTGTAGATCTTTTTGTTCCTTAAAAATGAAAATTGTAGATAATATATCTGCAGTTTTATCATATTTTAATTGTAATTAGTTCCAATCCTTATCCATTGGGGGGATTTGTTCTCTGTAGTATTCCTTTTGCCTTTTAGTTTGATAGTAGTCAATGGTGAAACAAGGATTTGGTTATAAATAGATAAAATAAAAAGAAATCAGGAAAGGCTACAAACAATAACATTGCCGTGAAATCACCACTTTCAAGTAATAAAATCTCCCATACACCATGAAATTTTCGAACAACATTTAAAAAAGTAGTATATTATACCTGCCCATGAACATGGCCAGTTCGAAATCATTGTCACCTTCATTTGAAATTAAAGGTTTTCACGTCTCCAGCCTCGTAGGAGGGGGGGACCTAGGAGCAAATTGGATTATATATTTGAATTTGATGATAGATTCGCCAGCCAGATTTGCTTTTACTATATATTTATATATGGAAAGTTGAATAGAGACGGCATCTTCTGAGATCTATAATGGCAGACCAACATCAAAAGCAACCCTGTTCAGGGAGTCATGGAAACCAAGCATAATGGATTGGTGAAAGAGATGGCAATGTCTAATTGCATTATAGATAACATCAAAATGCTTTTTCGATTATACTCAGATTTCGAATAATGAAAAATTTTGCACAAATTAATAGCTATAAATCTATGAATTTATAATTTTTTATTTAAAATTATCAAAATTTAAATCTTAATAATTCAAATTTAAAATATAATATTTTACCAATGAATCATACGATTGTTGAGATTAAGGTTAATAACGGATCGAGACGGGATGGATTTTTGCTCGCCCTGAACTTAACCCGACGTTGTATTTATCAAATTTGAACATAACCCGAAATTTTTTTTTATTTTTTTTATATCCGACCCAACTCGATATTGTATAAACCGTACCCAATCAACCCGAATTGAAATTAATAAAATATTATTTTTAAATATAAAATATTATTTTTAAAATATAAATATTTAATTATATAATTATATAAATAAATAATTTAAAATTTAATTTTTATATAAATATCGCGTCAAGTTGAATCGGGTTTGTCTAAAACTTAAACCTGACCAAACTCTAATTTTTTTTTTAGTAATACCCGACTTAACATAACTCAAAACTCAATTTAAAAAAAAAAAAATCAATCTTATAAAATCAAATTGGATCGAAACCGTCAAAGATGGATTAAATTTTTGAACCTAATTAAAATTATATATAAAACATAGTTTAATGATGGGGCAGAATAACACCAATAGTAGTCCATTATCTTTGGAAACCACTTCCATGAAATGACTTTAAACATTGAGTCTTTAAGATATTGGACAAGAAAAGGAAAAGCAAAAGAAAAGTTTATTCTTACTGAGTACTGTTCGGTAGCTTGATTGGTGGGTATTGTTGGCCCTGGCAAAACTTTATGCCTTAATAAAGCCTAAAGTTAATCTCCTTTGCTCACTTCTCTTATTGGATACTTTTTTTTTTTTGGCTACAAAATCTCAAAATCCCAACCACTCTAATGAATGCCTCTATTAAGCTCAATTGGCAAATCCCAAAGCCAAAGCCATGGGAGGGTTTTTTTGCTTTTCTTAGTAAATAACCTATCTTTCCTACATTTTATTTATTGAAATAGAAAAGAAAATTCTATGGGTAAATTTGATATCAATAAGAAGAAATGTGAAGACAATTATCAATGACAATTTAGTTAATTATGCATTATGAAACACAACCATAAAACTTTGATTCTCTGCTTTTGGCAATGAAAATTTCCCTACCAAGACTTTGAGATATATATTTCAAATTGAGATGAGGATGAAGATTGAGGACAATGAGAGAACACTGATTCAATCATATATTATATGACTGTGTGATTCACCACGACGAAGGAAACGAGAAAAAAAGTGCCATTTTGGCTATCTTAGCCACATGCCTATATTTTGTCCATGTTGTAACACAGTCTAACCTATCTAATCTATTGTTGTCAAGTTAGGTGTTAAACAGAATGGTTACATTTGCAAGGAAATACTTAAATGAAATTTTTTAAGTGAAATTCGTAAAATTTTTTATTATAAATGATTAAATAAAAATTAAAATTAATATATTAAAAAATTTATTATATAAATTAAGAGTGTAAAATTTTAAAAAAATTTAATAAATTTTGATATATATTGTTAGATAGATCTTTTTAATAAAAATATTGATAGAATTTTTATTGTTAAATAAATATCAATTAAATTTAAATTATAAATAATATTGTTAATATTTTTTATATATTATTATTCTTTCAATTAAACTCTATCAATCTATCTATTAAAATTATTAAGTTTTTAATTAAATCATTTAAAAAAAAAAACTTCACAAATTTCATTTAAAAAACTTCATATAAGTTTTATCCTACATTTGCAAAGGGTTAAGCTACTTATTATTAAGCAAAGTTATATAATATTTAAGTACTATTATATGTATGCAAGTCTTCAAATGAGATTTCAACTATTAAAATTTAAGATTTTATTTTTAAAATTTTGGGTTAAAATCTTAAAACGATTAAAATAAAACTCACAAGACGTACAATTAAATGATAATGGATTATCGTTAATTCGTTACAATAATATATATTTATGGTTTTTCAATGGCATTTCACTTAAAACACCATCAATTTCCATGTTATATTGAATACGTGAGCGGTATTTTCTACACAAATACCATTAAATTGTTAAATTAGCAATACTTGTCAAGTATTATTGAAAATAAATTTTAAATAAAAAATTATATTCAACAAAAAAAAATCAATTAGTTAAAATCGTTGGCCTGCTATCTTTTTTTGGATTTGATTTTTTATTATTTTTAATACAACTTTAATTATTATTTAAATAATAATTTTCCTAATTTATAAATAAATTCTTAAATTTAAATGGTTCAAATGACTATATTAAAAATAATAAATAACAATGTGAAACCTTATCTAAGGTTGTTAATCCAATTCAAATTCGTTCGATTTTGATCCGATTCGATTTTATAAAAAAATTTTTTTTTTTTAACAATTAAGTTTTGGATTGGATTTTTTACAAATAAAAAAGTCATGATCAAGTTTTAAATAAACTTGACTTGGTATATATATATATAAATATATTTAATTTTATATTTATATTTAAAATAATATTTTATTAGTTTTAGATTGAATTGAATTAATTACATTTTATCTTAAAATAAATTAAATCAAATAAAAATAATATTTTAATATCAATTTAAATATTTATCATAAAAAATCAAATTAAATTCGAAACGAGAAAAATCTGCTTTAAAACCGTTGGATGTCATCTCTAACCCTAACATCATTTTTAATATCTTGAATACACAATGTTAAGACAAAGTATCAATCTAAAACAAAAGTTTGTCCGGCTTGAACATCTAGTCAAGCCGCAAGAAATGCAGGCCAAAAAAAAAAAAACAGGGGAATCAAATTGAAACCATACAGCTAAGCATAATTGATTGATTGATTGAAAGACACGATGTTTGAAGTGAAATTTAAGATAACAAAAGAGGTTAAAATGTCTTAATTTACGTTAAAAACAACGAAATCTGAGGGACCATGTTGTTTTCAAAGTGGACAACCAACTTGTCCATGTGAACCCCCCCCCCCCCCCGATTATTTTTGGTCTATAACTTGACCATTTGCAGCACGGGGAACTCAAGCAAATAGTCTTGGTACATTGCATTAAAAATGTATCCAACTATGCATTTCACTTCCATAAATTTCAAGAAAGCGGTTGATTATTCATAAATTATACTCCTTTCGTCTCAAATTATTTAAATATTATTAATTTTAATAAATTTTTAAAAAATAACTTTAATATAAAATTAAAATTTTATAATTTTTAACTTCAGAAATTAAAAAAAATCATAAAAATAATTTTAAATATAAAAAATAAGAATTTTAGATGTTAAAAAAATAAAATATAATATAATTTTAAACATTTCAAAAAATTTTGATAAAAAATAGAGAATAAAAGTTTTAAAATTTAAAATGATTACATATTCATGAGTTTGTAATATTTTATTTTTGTCCGTAATCTTTAAAACTCAACTAAATTTATTATTTTTTTAATTTGTTTTGAATTTTTCTTTTTGTTAATTGCTATTAAAATGTTATATAATTTAACATCTCAACATCCACATAAATGTTCACACGACAAAAAAAAAAAAAAAGGGACTTATATGAATTTTGATGTGGCATTTTTCATTGAATCTTTAATAGAAGTTGACACACTAGATGAATTAGACACATTTTTACAAAACCATTGATCCAAAAATTAAGCTTTAAATATAGCAAATGATAATAAAAATATTACGTAAAGATCATGAATAATTGATGCATTTTATATTTATTGCGAGTAATTAATCTCATTTCCATCATCAAATTGAACTTTTGATTTGTTTCACGGATTTTTTTTATATTTTTATGCATAATTTTTTTCTTGACAATCTTGTTAATAATCAAGATCAATAGATAATTGTCAACACCAAATGTTAATAATCAATCTTGCTGACAATTTTCTTCACAATCCTAAACCCTAACACCAAATGTTAAAAGTAAAAAACAAAAAGAAAAAAAGGTTGATTATTGATGATGATAATTATATCCTTGATCAATGGATATTAACTGTTATCAAGCACAAGTATGGACTAACAATGGAAAGATAATAATAACTTCTTTGAATTAAAATTTTTCCCTTTTTGACCAAACAAAAAGTATAAAAAAAATGCTTACAAATCATGTCATCTTTAAATATATTAAATTCATATAAATAAATCAATAATCCCACTGTTTTTGGATTTTTTTGGCCTCAAAAGTCACAAAATAACTTCAAAAATGGTTCTCAAAGTAGTTTATAATGTGAGAAACATGAGAGAATTAAATAGAAATTAATTATGAGCAATAATATACAATATATTGTATTAAAAAAAATAGTATTGAGAGCTCTCATCAAATGAAATGTTTGTGACATATATATTTCCAAAATTTTCTATCTTTATAATAAATATAAAAACCCAAATAGTCAATGTAGTTATCATTACATGTCACTAATAGTGTATATAATAAATTATAGTGGTATAAATAATAACTATAGGGATGTACTACTTAGTGTATAAGCCATCATCCTCTCCCATTATTTTTCTTTTTAGTCCCTATGGGATCTTATTATTATACTCTTTGAAATTATATATGGATAATCAAATTAT